TACATTTCTTGAAGATGAAACAAGGATGTTAGGAGAAATAGGATTTAATACAAGGTACACGGTCACCTGGAGCATCCATGACCCTCCACAGCTCCTAAAAGTCTTGTAAATGCATCAAGTACTCTGCAGACTGGAGAGATGTAGAGGAAATTTCTCCAGTCTTCTCTTTTATGAAGCAATGCTTCAGGCATTTTCATATTCTGACATTTAATTCTGACGACAGTGTAGCTTTACCACCATACATGTGACAACTTCCAGGATTATTTATTTGGATTTTGAGCTTGATCTGCACTCCAGCTTGGGAAAAGTTGTAGGAAAAATTTTCTCTTTGCTTCAGCTTCTTAATGGAAAATAGTACATAAGTCCTACCCATTCAACCAGCTTGTAAGATTCCTTTTCCTTTGCAGAGCACTACATGGCTTGTGTATTAGGCCTCTTCACTGCATTCGCAAGCTGTGGGGTATTTTTAGTGGTTGGGTTTTTTGAAGGGGGGAGGCTTGGTGTGTTTTTTTTATTTGGGGGGTAGTATTTTTTTCCAAGTTCTAGCATCATTTCTGAAGTGACACTTATACAAAATCCCTGCAACAAACGCCTATCATCTCATTCTCTAATGTTTGTACACTCTTTTGCTCTCTTAGAGAAGATGTGATAGCCTATTTCAATTTTAAACTCAAAAGCATTACAACTCTGAATTCAGTAACAGCTCTCTTATACAGAGCTTTTAACAAGGAAAAAAAGGAGTTGTAATACCACTGTACACTTTTTCTGGTGTTCATGGTGCCTTAAATAATAACCAGTTAATCATGGTCTTATAAGCCTCTTTATAACTGTGGTACTCATTAGCATTAAGTCCAGTTTATTTTCTTGATGTTTGATACCATATCTTCCTGGGAACTTAGATTTCTCACTGTAATTCCATGTACTGTTATTTTTATTACTTCTTGAGGTAACTTTAAAATTAGAATGAACACAGGCAATGAAAAGTTAAGTCTTGGGGAAAACAGCCGCTCGCTCTTGTGAGATCACACTTGGTTTTGGCCTATCAAGCAGAGAATTGTTTAGGTTATATGTAGTAGACATACTTCACTATCCTCACAGAATATCCTATAAAATCCAATGAAGATTAAAGCAGTAAGGTTTCTGCAGGAGTTAAGGAGGACTCTGGAGAAATAACTTTAAACACTAATAGCCTTTTCATAGAGCTCTACAGGGCTGTATAAGTACTTTTAAAGTGCATTGCACTTGCAGTTACATATTTCCCATTCAAAGCAGGAGGATATGACCGTAACTGAAAAGATCAAAACATCCAGCCATGTGACAACTTCCAAGAAGCAAAGCCAAATTTTATTCCCAGTCATTTTCAAACAGAAAGAAGCAGCACTCAGTCAAGTGCTGAAGGCTCACATCTGCCTGTGCGCACACGGATGACTGCACACATGCAGAGAAATGTATTCAGACCAAAGGCTGCCCATAACAATACCACTATTAGACCCAGCAATTTCAATAACATGGCTTTGAAGAATCTTTATTCCTTTCAGATACCTCAACAAAACTCTTCCAGAAAACAAACTTATGCACTCACCTACACAGATTAGGCGCTCTAAGAGAAACTGGAATGTGTACTTGGAAACCTGATAATTGGTTACAGAATATCCAAGCAGGTTTCTTGATACTGATGATCAATTCCTCACCAGCTGTCTATCAACTACTTGTAATAGTGAATACAGACACAGGATGATGATCCATTGGTAACACTACTCTGTAACTACAGTAGATGTCCAGATAAAGGCACTAAAATAGGCTGTTCAAAAAGAAGTGTGGTCAGTACACACTTCTCTCTGCTTCAGTCTCATGAGACCCCATCTGAAGTACCGTGTCCAGCTCTGGGGCCTCCAACGTAAGAAACACATGGACCTGTTGGAGAAGGTCCAGAGGAGGACCACCAAGATGATCAGAGGGATGGAGCAGCTCTCCTATGCAGACAGACTGAGAGAGTCTGTCTGGGGTTGTTCAGCCTGGAGAAGAGAAGGCTTCAGGGAGACTTTAACACAGTCTGTAGTGACAGGACAAGGGGCAACGATTTTAAACTAAAAGAGGGTAAGTTTAGATTGGACATTCTACAGTCACAATGTTCTGTACATATATTGTTTCTGAAATGTATCCACTAACACATTTAGTCACTTGGCTCCTAATACCCATGTGACAGCAGGCATATACGTCTTTCCCTGAAGGGGACACTGCAGACAGCTTACCTGACTACTTGAAAAAAATATATTGTTAACAGATTTTAGAAAGATGCATTATTTCATATATTTTTTCAGGCAATAAATCCTAAAGATATGAATGAAATGGACAGAAAAATGAATTGCATCCATTATCAGAAAATTACTCTGTACAGGCAAAGCAGCCAACTGCTAGGATCTCTGTCATAGCATTTTACTCTGCTCAAAATGCATTGAACAAAGCAGTCAGGAGAAACAGGACAGAATTAAAAGAAAAGATTCAGAGGTTCTATATGGCAACTGTACAGATTTCTAATATGGAAAACTGAGATGCAGTATCTTACTAATTTCTTTTTTAAGCTACAGTAAAAAATTTATTTTGTATGCAAGAATGCAGAAACTCAACACAAAATATGCACAATGTCAAGCAATCAGTGCACTTCATTTTGCATTGTAAATAGTCTGGTTGTTTTCAAAAATTTGTCAAATTTTTTTATTTTGCTGTTTTTAAAGCAAAGTCCTACATTTTCTAGGCATCTGAGACACACATACAAAAAAAAAAAGGTCCTTTTGACAGTAATAAAGAAAAACCAAAATATAACAACAGAATTCTAGAGTAATCAAAAATCGCTATCATAAATATATGATGAGTTACCGGATAGCCATTTCGCCCTGGTAGACCCTGGTTGAATGAGATGAAATGGTAGGACAAACATTAACAACACAGTCATGACATATGACATAACAAACATGCAGAGTACATTACTAGTAAATTATAATTTGCATATTGCTTATTTTTTTATATGTGATGATATTTCGAACCAATAAATATGAGGTAAGTACTACACAGTGAAGAAGTGAGGCTTTGGCAATGGAAATCCTATGTTTTAATTTAAATAAACCCTCTTAAAAGGCTACTGACTACTTCTGATGTTCACTGAAATTCTATTTTTTATGAAGAGAACTATCCATGTAGACTGAAAGGCAATACGTGGCTAAAAAAAAAAAGGGGGGTTTAGTGCTTAGGTGGTATTCAATTCCACTAAAACATAGGTGCCAAAGAAGAAATTTGAGATTGCTTTAAAAGATCATAAAAAAAATTTGAAATCCTCAGCCTTTGAGTGTTATTACATGTGATATTCAGTAGTAAGGTACAAGGAAAATAAACAGAGCACTGCAGGCAGCCTTTGAAATAAAACATACACCTAACCCCCTACAGTGTTATGTGGTATATACAAATATTTTATATTTTAAATGAAAACTATTACCACAGTCTCCCTGGTGAAAATAATAACTAAGTTCACCACAGTTGCCCCTAGCCAGTGTCTACGTAAATATAAAAGTGAATTAGGGAGAGATATTACATTTTTAATGACTTGTAACAATGCCTTACTGCCAGTCAGCAAGATGAAGTCTTGTAAGTTTTGAGTATGAAACTTGGAATTTAAAGTCAGACGGTTCTAAAATTATTAAGTTTTGAAAGCTATTTCAGGTTTGTGTAAATATCGCTACAAGTAAGACTTTTTTGTGGGTTTTTCGCCTTTTTTTTTTTTAAATATATCTATATTGAAACAGTGAAGAGCTGAAGTTAAAGGCATTCATAATGAGGCACATAGTGAACTTTAGCCATGTTGCCTTGCTACAGGAAAATAGTTTGTATCATGATTTATGTTTGCTCTTTGTATTTCACGGGATGACTGCAAAAGAAATTAGGGAAAACAAGTGTTTCTTTCCAATAAACAGCATCTTTATGCATTAAGCCTGGCTTTTCACTGATAGCTTGTTGAATGAATTTGTCACTATAAATTGCTGAGCACATGGTCAAAATCTTACAAGGATAAGTAATATCACTGCTCAGTTTATACAGTTTACAGTGAAACCATCAGGTCACAGCAGGGATTCAATGTATTAATTCGCTATTCTTAAACATGCATGTAGCATATGGTAATATGGTCTTGAAATTTTTGTGGAAATACTACATTTCCTAAAGAAAAAAACACAGAAGTCTGCAAACTGTAAAAGAAATACTGTTTCAATGGTCACACTCTTACATCATATGATGCCCATGGATGGCATGACAAATACAAATGTTTGAGATATATGTGCTCAGTCCCGTCCTTCAAGTCAGACTTCTGACCTACTCTGGGAATATACAACAAAGCAAAAAAAAGGCAAACTAAAAAACCCAAGCAAAAACCAAAACAACCAAAAAATTCCAGAAGAAAGAAGCTGTTTTCTTACAAGAAGGATTAGCACAAGATTCATCTAACTTACTAAACTGAATAGTACTATTTAATATTAATTTTACTCAAGCACTTACTGGCTTCAGTAGCAATTACAATGAAATGAGCTGGACAACCTGCATACCTACAAAAGAACAGGGAGCTTGTACCTCAAGACTTTGTGATAACTACAGAGGAAGTTACTATCCAGCAAAAGCAGGTAGTCCAGTCTGGACTTAGGATACGCACACATTTTTATACTGCAGTAAAATATCAAGTCACAAGGAAAATAAACATAACATACTTACATGGACTTGTGATCCAAACGGCTATCTGGAGTGCTGAATATAAAGCTTAATTGGTTTAGAGACTTTTTTTCTTATGGAACTTTCTGATTAAATTATTCAGCTCCAAGATACCATATTTGTATAAACGTCAAGATTCCCTCTTGATTATACATTATCACACATCATCATATGTCACGGTGACAACTTAACAGGATCTAACAGATTTCTCCCTGATTCTGGAAGAACCAACAATGTAGCACTGTACTTACAGGAGGTCCTGTGGGGTGGGGGAGAGGGAAAGAAGGTAAAAAAAAGAGAAAAAAGAACACGTAAGCTTACGAAGCTATTAAAGAAAGACATATATGTATGAAGTCAAGCACAAGGCCTCAGGATTGTCAGTGAGCAGCACTGCTAATACAGTGTGCACATTTTCCCACTCAATTAATCTTTAGCTTTGGTTGCGCTCCGAAACTTGTAAATATGACTGCTGCTTACATGCATGCACTTACCTTACCAATTCTTCAATTACAGTCATGCAATCTTATGAAAATTGCTTCTCCATCCGTTTCCATGCAATTTCATGCCAGTCCAAAAATACCAGCCACAGACTACAATTCATTTTGTCGGACTCCACATAAAGCATATGTAACCACATCACCAGTTTCAGTCAACCACACACTTGGCATTTGATCACAGCTTGGCTGCAAAATTGCACAAAGTACCCTTGGCATTTAACCTGGGCATCTTGTCAAGACATACGTGTACTAGCATCTTCCATCCTTCCAATTTTGCCTGTGAGGGGAGGTTTCAGTGGCCACCTGACAGCGCTGAACTTTGTTTTCATCGCCTTCCTCTCTCAAGGCACACATATAAAATGGTCCCCATTAAAATGTCACACTTAGTGAAGTGATATTTGCACATTTTTTCAATTATTTAGACCTCAAAGACTTTTGTATAGCAGTTCTTGGAAACATTATCAAAGGGTCACAAATCAAACCTACTATTTCAGTCTTATTAAGTTGAGCAGCTGCAGCTCCCAAATCAATGGCATTTCATTAAGCTTTTATGCCTCTCTCTAATTTCTGAATAAAGTGAAGTGCAAAAGGAGTATAAAACAGCAGCAGCTGTACTTTGAGATTGCTTTTAATATTGACAGCCTTTTGGCTTTAACAATGTAATTTTTATTGTCCAGCAACTAAGGTAATGTCTTTATCCTGGCAAACATTCTTAAACAGCATTTTAAGGTGCAGGTCTGTTTTTAAATGAGAGATCAATTTCCTTTATTAATAGTTTAATATGTGTTTATTTGAGATGTAAAATGAATCAACGAGCATCCCACAAAGTAATTGCCAGGATCATTTGTAACTCAATCTTCAACCACAGAATTTCCTTCTGCATCATAGCCTCTTTCTCTGAAGCAAATACTAAGCCAACACTGAATGGAAACACCAAGGTGATTTTTATCAACCTTTGGCAGGGATTGTCTTCAGTTTTGTGATTCAGGAAGATACAGAAATCGTTTTTAAATTACCACAGCCAGATAAATTACCATGTACATAGATAAGAAAAGCTACAGAACATTTACAGAGATCGAGTTGATTGGAAGATTTTCCTAGCTGGCAGATTAGACAAGAGAGAGTAGAAATGCTCATTTTCTACTGCATCACCTCCACAACATTCACCTTGATGAAAAATTCAATCCTGCAAGGTAATCAACAGTTTCAATTCCTGTGGATGTCAGCAGGAAGAGGTCCTTAGCATCTCACAACTTTGTGTCAAATGAAATTTCAAGCTACACACCACCAGCAGGATTCTATCAACAGCAACCTCCATGGTACAGAGTAACAAACCAACAAATACTTTTTCTTATTTCTCTTAGAACTTAAGCGCTATTCATTTCTAGTAAACAATTTCTCTCATACAGTCTACTTATCACATTATTTCCCTGAGTACTGACATTCTTGACATAAGGAATTTTATTTCCTTCTTTATTTCCTTATAAAATTGTTCACCTCAAACCAAGGGGGCCCAATATATCACTGACATAGTGCTCCAGCTACTGACTTACATGGAGTTATTCTAACATGTGCAAGTGTGAGAAGACACTTAAATGGTTTGACAATTACAAATGTGTTACCAAAGGTACTAGGTCGAGTATTATGAAGCTTGCCTACAAATTAATGATGCCCAAGGCTAGAAAAGTATGCCAAGGGTCACAATTTTTTAACAGAGAAGTTTCAGAATTCTCTTTCACAGCACACATGCAATACAACTAAAAACGAAGACATGCTGTGTATGCATCCTCACAAAAACATAGACATTACACAACAAGGGATCTTATGAAATTGAAAACTTACCTGTCTCTCCTCTTCTTCCCCGCTTACCTCTTTTCCCCGGAGGACCTAAAAAGAAGATGGTGGATTGTAACTTTTTTCCTTGAAATTACATGAAGAATATAATTTCTTTGGATGTAAGGGCATAGAGTGATGTATTACACGAAGTTCAGAGACTTTGGCCGAGTAGGGGTAAAAGATAACCCGAATAAGATTTAGGAAGTTGGAGATAAATTTGACAGCTACGTTACCCACCACACCCTCTCTGAAAAAAGGCTGGGAGAAACTTTGGAGGTCATCCAGTTCATCCCTCTTTCTCTTGGAAAAAGCTAACCACATCTAAATTATAACTGCAACTTCCACAGGCATTTCCCCCCCCTTCCCCAGTATTTCACTGTTTTGACAAGTGGAACATTTCTTTATGTCCAACTTGCTGCACTGGAGCCCATCAATTCATGTGCTTTCCACCATGAACTCCAGAGAACAAACTGTCCCTTTTCTCAAAAAAGTCTTGGTATTCCTCAGAATTGCTGCACCACTCCTTCAATCACCTTAAACCAAATATATCATGGGACATTAAGTTTTATTCAATTATTCCCATATTAAGCCCAAAGATTAGTATTTATTTATAGGAGCAAATCCCCTGGAAAATGCTTTCGGCCTCTACCTGAAAACATGCAAAAGATGGAGAAAGTATCACCTGGCTTGCCATCACCCAAACATTCAACAACAGTGTATGTGTTGCCAGACACAGTCTAAGGTGCTTTGCCTCCAGTTTATGCTTGTTAGCCATAACACAATGGCCTAGTTACTGTATGCTTTTTGCTAAGAAATCTTTATTTCTCATTGTCCTTTCTCCCCAAGTATCTATATACTGCAACCAGTATCTGCTGCTAACTCTGAAGAAAAGGAAAAATCCTTTTTGTCCCTCATTTCTGCCTTTAGTATCATTTTCTAAACCTGCAGACATCAGATGTCAGACTGCAGACGTTTTCCCCCTTCTTCCTGGTGACCTTGACGTGCTGTTCCTGAAAATACAAGGAAAGCACACTTGCACTTCTCCTTGTATAGCGTGGAGGAGAAGCAGCAGCTGCGGGGATGACACAGAGTACTGAAACACGGTTGCTCTGAAAAGAGAACCACAGGTGGGACTCTCAAAGCTGCTGAAGGGAGGAAAGCACACGGGTGGAATTTCCAAAAGCAGCAATGCGTGCAGGACCACAAGTACCTCTGCTGTGGCTGTATCTCGCTGTTCGTAATAGATATTAGATGCACAGGTGTTTTTCTGCAAATAGTTAAGCAACTGTCTGATACTTTAAAAATCATCTGAACTATTGTTCCAAAGCTTTTAAATAGCTTTGCATTATATATTAGCAGCAATCTGGCTTAAAAGATTAAGATACTGAAAAGCAACATTAGTGACACAATTTCAATATATATGGGAAACAGCATTTGTTTTCCAGGGAAATAAAATATTATTGATTTAAAAAGAAAGGAAGAAGGTAGAAGAAAGAAAGAAAAAAAAGAAAGAAAAAATGGAAAGAAAAAATAGAAAAGGAAAAAAGAAAAAGAAAGTAGAAAAAGGAAAAAGAAAAAAGGAAAAAGAAAAGGGAAAGGGAAAAAAAGAAAAAAAAAGGAAAAAAGAAAAGCAGCTCTTGTCTTGAAAGTAGAGAGGTTTATTCCTATAGAGCATTATAAGTCTCACTAGAATTCTTATTTTTTCTTCTGTTTTAGTAATTACAGCAGTGGCATAATGCAACACAAGTTTAAGACAATATTATACAAAGCAAGAATGGCATAGGTTATTCATAATCAAAACCATACTTAACAAGACAAGAATATTTTGGTATTATGAAAAATAGCAAAAGTGTCACTTCTGTGTGGGGAGAACCTTGCAACTTCCTCCTGAAACACTCCATCCTCTGCAAGATATCTATGGAAACTTCTTACACAGGAAATGGCATGTTACAAACATAAGTTCCTACAGACACCTCTTCTCCCCCTCACCCCCCCCAACTAATACTGAAACCTTTTAGAGTCCTTCTGCATGCACACAGCCCTTCAGTGGTCCCTCTGTGGAGATTTCCTGGGCTGTCCCCAAGCTCACAACACAGCCGTGCAGCAATATGGACTCAACAGAAACATGGATGTGCAGGAGAAAATTAAAAGGTTCTTTTCCAGGTAATGACATGTCATTCAGCATATAGCAAAAATATACTGCTAAACAGGGTGGTAGTATTTTATTTTATTAAAATTTAACTATGCTGTAGGTGTGCCCATGCACACACACAAAAAGCTCTACTATCAAGTTTCCTTTTGAGAAAAGAACTTTGAAACTAAAAAACTTCAGCTACAGACCAGCAAAAGGCACCAAAGTCACTGACAGAAAACTGTGAGGGTCATTTCAAGCTATGAATTTTAGGAAGGAATGGAATTTGTCCAGCAAACCAGACTTCCATAGAGCACTAAGTTGCCAGTTTAGTAACTGTGCACAGTGATGGCAAAGAAGGGACTCCAGTTCAGCTCTCTTCTCAGACACCAAGTGCTGATCCCTTCTAAGCCATTATTCTAAGATTATCAGATTTAGATCTAAGTGTGAATCATCAGGGAAAATGGGTGTAATTATTGTATTTCCAAAGTAACCACATGACCGAGGATACAGAAAAAATTATTCTGGCCTTAGAGCATTAATCAAACCATACTACCACCCCTGACCATCAGATCAGCAGCTTTTAAGGGCCACCAAGTGATGTGCATCGCTGCTGTCTCTCACTAAAAGTTGTTTTGATTTCTGCACTATCCAAGTCTCTGTCAAGGTGGTGGCATTTGCAAAACTCATAAGAATTGTGAGACGAGAGATTGATCTTGCAAATTTCTACAAGGTTTTGGTGACCATTTGAGCAAATAGTTTCTATATATTTATCTAGTTATTTACTTTTTACCAATACAAACTAATTCATTTTAAACAGTTAATCACAGATGGTTTCAATTCACAGAAACACTAATGCTGACATTTATGGTCATCACGAGATGACCTACTACTTCATAAAGCACAGGAGCTTTCATGTTTTCCTGAACAGGCTGCTTTTTCTAAATCTTAACTGCTAACATCATCTGCAGCTCCAAGAACTTCAAATTATCAAAACCCTGGGCATTTTTCTATAAATATTAATTTTCCATCTGTCTGTAATTTGATAACTGCACCAATTGGAGGATTTGGTAGAGATTCATCACAGCCAAAGGAGCAGTGGATAAAGTTATACTATGGACAATGTCAGCTTACGTCAAGTCCAGTGATTGTTACAGCTTGCACAAAATACTCAACATATGACACAACTACTCTGAACCTTTTTGCCTGGGGTAAAAGAAAATATCTCTATTCTCATAGTATCAGAAATGTCCATGCTGAATTGAATTTAATCCAGAGTATTTTAAGAGTATTTTGTTTTGAATAATTTTCATATTAAAAATATAAAACTTAGAAATATAGAAGTTCAAATCTCAGTGGAGTAAGTTGGGTTCATACAGATTAATGATACTGAGCAAGAAGCAAAAGCTAGTTTATAGTAACCAACTTTGCCAACACACTGTTTTCCTAAGATGACTACATTTACCTACAGGTAGGGAGTAAAATGCTAGATCAGCTGGTTTTAATTTTTAACTTTGTTTAGTTTCAAAATATTTGAAATTATTTGTTTCTCCCAAAACCATTTATGGTCTAAGTTTTATGAAGAGAAAGCTTAAAAAGGATTTTTTTTTTCATTCAAGTGTTTAAAAAATTAATGCCACTGCTATTTCATATCTATGAAGGGAGTTTTGGAATTGAAAGAATTAAAAGTCAATTGAAACTAAAAGTCAATTAGTTATGTGAATTTATCTTCTTAAGCAAAAACTGCTCAAAAAGTTTTGCCTTTCTTACCTACCATAAGAGACTGACAAACCCCACAAATAAACAGAAAAAAATCCTCCCACCCCACACAAAATGGATGAAAACTCCTGTATTCTGTATTCACCTGTATTCACCTTGTTCTTTGTACTGATATATTTACAGCAAACAAATTCTACATTTCAAAGCAGCAGACTGAAAAAAAATGCATAAAATCCACCACATTTGGTGGATGAGACCTGGAGTCACTCAATCAAATGCTCTGCTGTTTGGTCATAAGCTTAGCTAGAAAGTCAAGTTTGTCCTAATTTTGGGAAGAATTACAGTGGCATTATCAAGTCAAAGGAAAAGGATTTACCCATCTTGGGTTATACCAAACTCCAAAAGCTATTCACTGTCACTGCAAGTAAGGGCTCCTACAGCACACTATGCACCAACCTAAGAATAAGAGCTCAGAATCCTGTTTCCTGTTTTACTGATTGCTCACATATAGTTTGACACATACATACAGCTACTGTTAAAGGTAAAGGAAACAAGCATTCCATGTGTACACAAGAAGAATAATATTTTCCTGGCTATTTCAAAGGACATCCATTTCACATAAAGTTTACAGCAACGTAAGATTTTGCCTGTCAAGTCAGAAAAATGAACTGACCCAATTACATTCTCAGAGTAAATCCTGAGCAACTGTATATAGTAGAAATACTTCAGTACCATCAGGCTGCCAACCTTGCTGAAATAATGTGATTAAAATATCTGGAAGTCTGCTGAACTATACCAACCAAGCCTCCAAAACTATCCTTTCTGATTCAGCTCTAACACTGGTAAAATAACTGCTATTGGTTGCATTTCAAGCTCCATCCCCCCAAGCTGTCAGTGGATCCATCTCTCTCCTCTCCACTTCCAAAGTACAACCCAGCCACCATCATTTTATCCCACTTCGCGCTTCTCCCTGTCAAAGAAACTCAGGCAGGACTTGCAGTACCGTGTTGAACAGAGCCAACCCCTTGATGATCACAGGGAGAGGAGAGCTCCCCCAGCAAACTGACACCTCTCTGCTTTACAGCTGTAGGAGCACCAAGTGACACTGCAGGCCAGCACTGCAGGTAGGCAGCAGAGCAGAGTGGCAGCCTTTGAGCCTAACACCTCTTCCTGGGAAATATGGATGCCATGAGCAGGGCAG